TACTATGAACTGCTCCAAGCAACTGATTCTCTTAGCGAAAGTAATCTGATTGGTTCTGGAAGTTTTGGCTCTGTTTACAAAGGCATTCTCAGAAGTGGAATTCATATTGCAGTTAAAGTGTTCAATCCTCAACTGGAAGAGGCATTCAAGAGTTTTGATACAGAATGTGAAGTTTTACGCAGCCTCCGCCATAGGAATCTTGTGAAAGTCATCATTAGTTGTTCCAACCTTAATTTTAAGGCTTTAGTGCTCGAGTATATGCCTAATGGAAATCTTGACAAGTATTTGTATTCACACAACTACTTCCTAGACATCAGGCAGAGACTAAGCATTATGATAGATGTGGCATGTGCATTGGAATATCTCCATCATGGATGCTCCTTTCCCATAATTCATTGTGATCTGAAGCCTAGTAACATCTTGCTGGATGAGGATATGGTTGCCCACCTAAGCGACTTTGGTATTTCAAAACTGCTTGGTGAAGATGAGAGTGATTTATACACTAAAACCTTAGCAACATTGGGTTATATTGCACCAGGTACGTCTCTTTGTTTTGCTGGTTTTTCCTTTCTTCTTCTTTTGCACCAAGATATGTTAAATCTTCAAATTAATTGTTTGTTTATAGAGTATGGACTGGATGGATTAGTGTCTATAAAATGTGATGTCTATAGTTACGGGATCATGTTGCTGGAAACGTTTACTAGGAGCAAGCCTAATGAGTTTGAGGGAGATCTTAGCTTGAAGCAATGGGTGAGTTACTCATTCCCAGAGGCAGTAATGGATGTTGTAGATGCCAACTTGATAACATCAATGGATAATCGCTTACGGAAGGAGCTAGATGTTGTGTCTTCAATCATGAAAGTGGCATTGGATTGTTGTGTTGAATCTCCAGCAAGAAGGACAAACATGAAAGATGTTGTAGGGATGCTACAGAAGATCAAGATTCAACTTCTTGCATACTGATCAACGTTCTCGGAATCTCTTGTTCCAAATCACTCATTTGTTGCAAATGTTTACTAAATTGTTGGATTCATGTAAGGATTTTTTTTTTGTTTTGTTTTAGCATTTGATTTGTGCATGATTCTGTTTTCGAATACTGGTTGGTTTCAATAAATCTCACAATTTCCCCTCCACACTTGCTCAAGTCAAATTTATCTACTTATCTAAAATGAGTGGTACAACACTTGGATATCAAACTGACAACTAGCATGGAAAGGCCTCGATTTGGTCCAGTAGAATGAATGTTAAAAGCAAATTCCTCAAATGGCTAAAACTAAGTAATGACTTGACTTTGTCGAAGTATAATTATGAAAAGCAATTAAATGAAGGAACAAGGGCTGGTAAGGAACAACTTGAAACCGCAGCTCATGCTAATCTAAAAAGGTTGGTGGTGAAAAAAAACGCTTCTAGTCCTAACCAACAAAGGAGTTTTTTGCAACAAATAAATGCTGGAAACAGCAGAGGTGTTACTTCTGATGGTTATGAGCATGATTTAGTGGTTCAAGTTCAATCAAAAGGTGATGTCCAAAGGGATGAGTTGGCAACGGTTGCTGTTAAGCCGGGTGAAAATGTAGGTGAAGAGCACGCTAGGTTGACTGATGCTAGTGCAATTGATCAAGCTTTAGTTGCACCCCTGTTTCTAATAAGGAACAATAAGATGCGACAAGTGCTTTTGAGTTGGGCATATATAGTAAACGAAGAGGTAGAGCGGGTCACATCTCCTCCTATGTACAGAAAATTGAGCCCTGCAGCTCCAATTTTTTTTACTAGAAATGCCAAATCAGTTAGGCATGGGATAGATTGGCCATCAACTGATGTTGCTGCAATTTTAAGAGATCATTTGGTGAGTTCTTAACCTCATTGGGATTGGTAAGGTAAAGTCTAACCCCCCCCCCCCCCCCCCCCCCCCCCCCCCCCCTTCCTTGTTGTACTTGTCCCAATGGAGGATTTTTATTTTATTATTAATAAAAGACCACTAGACATACTGTCTAGTGGTAAATTCGAAGAAAAAAATACAGTAAAAGAATTCAATGATTCTATCAACAAGTTGCACGGTGAAATACCCTCGAGGGTCCTTTCAAGAACCTCTCAAGTCAGTTTTTCAACAAAAATGAAGCATCACTAGTTGTTCCAACCTTTATTTTAAGGCTTTAGTACTCGAGTACATGCCCAATGGGAGCCTCGATAAGTGGCTGTATTCACACAACTACGTCTTAGACATCACGCAGAGACTAAGCATTATGATAGATGTGGTACGTGCATTGGAATATCTACATCATGAGTACTCCTCGCCCGTGATTCAAATCAAAATGTAATTGCGGTAGAACAAGAGAAAATCCTCTATTTTAAACCAACAATCAGAATTATGCATTAAGAAAATAATCACTCATGCAAACACTTTAGAGTTAACAATTTGCAGAAATTCGTTGAGTTTCATACCTGAGTGAGTGCTTGAAACAACAAAGGGAAAATCATTCGCTAAAATTCAACAAATAACCACTTTTCAGCTCCTACAATTGAAAAATAACTTGTTCATGTCCCATCGCGTCCCGAGAACTCAAAATGCAGAAGAAAACAAAGGAAATATCTGTTTTTACTTAATGGGCGTGAAAAAAGCTAAAGCAATAGTTAAAATGAGACAAAGGGAATCCAATTAATCTGCGGAAAGAGATACTCTCTATATGGGCCACTTTACTTGTCACATTTTTCAGTCAATGTTGCAAATTGGTGGATTGCAATCAAAGTAGACATTTTCACTGGAAATTTATAGTAGGCATTTTGTAGTTATAAATTATTTTATATTTTATTGGGTTATTTTATACTTAGAATTGAGGGTAGTTGGTGACGTTTTTGTTCGAAATAGCAAGGAAAGGCCTCATTTTGGTCGTATAGAATGAACGTGAAAAGAAGAATCCTTAAAACATATGATTCTTGAATAGATAAAAAGATCGAGAGAGCATGAGATGACCTATTTCAAGATCAAATGATTCACCTCTTTGTTCACTTGTGAGGGACAACTTGGAAATGTCAAATACCAGGAAACAACCCATAAAAACAGTGAGTGTATGCCCTTTTTGATGCAGTTCACGATGTGGAATAGTCAACTAGCCAAGCTAGCCCTTTCCGATGCAGTTCAAGACTAAACACTACTAGTTTTCCACCGTGAATCAATGATCAACTCACTGCATAGTGAAAAACAAATTCTCGATGAAACTCTTGAGAAGCTTCCTAACCAAGGCAAATAAATATATATTTTACCTTCACCATTAGTTACTTATTTCCCAAATCATCTTTCAAAACCTAACACTATACATCAATTAATATTGGATATTGTGATAAACATATTAATCATTATTTTATTTTTTTTGGTTTAAACACAAGGACTATTGCATTCTCATTTTCAATAATGTGAGACACATACCATGAAAATGTCAAGAAGTTGAATTCTTGACTTGCCCACATAGGCAAAACACACATTTGTGTCCAGACTTTAGTATGCGTTCCCACGGATTTAGTCCAAATTCAATATTTATATTTAAAAATTCACTAACAATAGAAACCGGTCATAATCAACACCAGATGTCACTAGCCTAGAATTTAAAACCAATTGAAATTATGTCTTTGATATGCGTGGAATTATGGACGTCAGAAACTAAGTCAAGATTCAATGTTATATTTTTATCGACAATTTTACTTATTTGTGTAAAATTGTGTTAACACCACAATTACAGTTTGTGTTAACCAAATCTTGCAAACTGTCGATTGTGGTGTTAACATGGTTTCCCATGAATTTGTGTAAAACATGTTAACACCACAATCACAGTTTGCAAGATTTGGTTTGTTTCAATTGGTCAAGTCCTTAGACCCCACATAATTAAACTGGAAAATAAATTAAATTGGGGAACAATAAAATTATCACTATTTAAAGTCTCAAAACCATAGGTTACTAGCCATTCAATTTTCTTACTAACTTATGCAATTATGGAGAAAATATTAACCTCTTTTCTCTTGTTGCTTCAGTATGTTATGGCTAGTTCAGCCATGACCCAAACTAACACTACCACTGATCAATCAACTCTTCTTTCTTTAAAATCTCAAATTAGTTCGGACCCCTTTCACTTCTTAGATGATAGTTGGTCTCCCACTACTTCTGTTTGCCATTGGGTAGGAATCACATGTGACTCTCGTCATCACAGAGTGAAGTCCTTGAATCTTTCCAACATGGCTCTTACAGGAAGGATCCCCCGTGATTTAGGAAACCTCACATTTCTTGTTTCTCTTGTCTTGAGAAGCAACAATTTCCATGGAAATTTGCCTCAAGAAATATCACAATTGCATCGACTTAAGTTTGTTGATTTAAGTTTGAACAACTTTAGAGGGGAGGTTCCTTCTTGGTTTGGGTTCTTACACAAACTTGAAGTTCTAGATCTTAGAAATAATAGTTTCACTGGTTCCATCCCTTGTTCGTTTTCTAACATTTCCACACTCGAGAATTTGGATGTGGATTTCAACTCCATAGAGGGTGAAATCCCAAAAGTTATTGGAAGTCTAATAAACTTGAGAATTTTAAACTTGAGGGGAAACAATCTCATAGGTTCTATTCCTCCATCACTCTCAAATGCCTCAAGGTTGGAGGTTTTAGATTTATCTAGCAATTTACTTCGAGGGAACATTCCAGAAGGTATTGGTAATCTTCAGAACCTGAACTGGTTGTCCATACAAGATAATCAGCTTACTGGTTCTATACCATTCACAATTTTCAATATTTCTAGAATCGAATTCATTGCATTTGCAGTCAATAGCTTATCAGGAAATCTTCCGAATGGTTTATGCAATCGTCTCCCAATACTCAAAGGGCTTTATCTATCCACAAACAAACTTGATAGTCATATCCCTACAAGCTTGCCAAATTGCTCAGAGCTTCAAATATTGAGTTTAGCAGAAAACTATTTCAGTGGTATGTTTTATCTTACTACTCCATCTCTTTGAACAATATAATAAGTATCAAAAATGAATCAGCTTTGTTTCCTTCTATGCGAAAATGAGCTCCTGAAACCAGAAGTACATGCCATGCATGGACCAAGCCAAAAGTATGTTAAATAACAATTTCAATTAATTAAATAAATAAATACTTAAATCGATCACAATTAGAGAAAAAAATTCAAAAGTTTTGATGGTAATACATGAAAATAAATTCATAATAATTAACATATACAAAAATAATTAAAATGGTAAATGGAAATATTTATTTTGCAAATTGAAGTTAAATAATTTACCTGAGATTTTTTTTTTATATTACACATTAAATGCAGGGATAATTCCACGAGAAATTGGAAATCTTGTTAATTTGGTGACCTTAACCGTGGAGACAAACCAGATTACCGGTTCTATCCCGATCTCGATATTCAATATCTCATCGTTGCAATTTGTTTCACTAGGGACGAACAATCTTAAGGGATCCTTACCACGGGAGATTGGCAACTTAACCAAGTTGCAATTTTTATATTTTCACGAAAATAGGTTTACTGGTACGTATTCAAAGTGATATTTAGCAATCTGTATTGAACTAGCTAGCTCTTGGTTAAACTCATTCTTTATTCATGTGTTGACAGGTGAAATACCCAAAGAGATAAGAAATCTCGTTGAGTTGGAGGTACTTCATCTTGCGTTTAATAGTTTTAGTGGTTCGCTTCCAATGTTGATCTTCAACATATTAGCACTGACAATAATTGATCTTTCATTCAACAATCTATCAGGAACTCTACCACCAAACATAGGTTCTACCTTACCCAACATTGAAGAGCTTTATATGGCCCGCTTAACCAATCTTGTCGGGACTATTCCTCATTCTATCTCCAATTGTTCAAAGCTTACTCATCTAGAGCTTGCAGAAAACAAACTCAGTGGATTAATACCCAATTCTCTTGGATATTTGACTCATCTACACTTCCTAAACTTACAGAGAAACAATTTAAGCAGTGATCCATTTTTAAGCTTCCTCACTTCCTTAACCAATTGCAGAAATTTAACATCTCTTTCTCTATCTTTCAACCCTCTAAATGGCATGCTTCCGGTCTCCATAGGGAACTTCTCCAAATCTCTTGTAAACTTTTATGCCTCTGCTTGCAACATTAACAGCCAGATTCCAAATGAAGTTGGAAACTTAACCAATTTAATAGACCTTGATCTCACTAGAAACAACTTGAGTGGATGGATTCCAACATCAACTCAGAACTTGAGAAACCTTCAACGCTTGTACTTGAACATCAACAAACTTACAGGATTTATTGGAGATCATATATGTAAAATTGCAGCATTTGGGTGTTATTTCCTTGGATCAAAATCAACTTTCAGGAGCACTTCCTAATTGTTTAGGGAATGTTACTTCCCTTAGAATTTTACATCTTGATTCCAATAAATTGATTTCCAATATACCACCAAGTTTGGGGAATCTTAGAGATCTAATGGAGCTTAACTTATCAGCAAACAATATGGTTGGTTCTTTACCTCCAGAAATTGGAAATCTAAAGGCTGCGATACTGATAGATCTGTCAATGAATCAATTCTCAAATGGTATTCCTATAGAAATTAGAGGATTGCTAAATCTGGAGGTTTTTTCTTTGAGTCACAACAAGTTGCAAGGATCTATACCTGACTCAATGAGCAACATGATAGGTTTGGAATTCCTAGATATTTCACATAATAATATATCGGGAACCATTCCCATGTCTTTTGAGAAACTACAATACCTCAAGTATTTCAATGTTTCTATCAACAAGTTGCATGGTGAAATACCCTCGGGGGGTCCTTTCAAGAACCTCTCGAGTCAATTTTTTATCAACAATTTTTTTCATCAACAATGAAGCATTATGTGGTTCTTCAAAATTTGGTGTCCCCCCATGCCCCACTTCATCAAAGCATTGGGTGGTTCTATTTCTTGTGCTGGGAATTGCACTTGTATTTGTTCCTATTACCCTTGTGTTTGTATGGATAAGGTATAGAAGAGGTAAAAGATCTCCTCAACGAGCTGATTCATTGTCTATCGCAACAACAGAAAGAATTTCATACTATGAACTGCTCCAAGCAACTGATTCTCTTAGCGAAAGTAATCTGATTGGTTCTGGAAGTTTTGGCTCTGTTTACAAAGGCATTCTCAGAAGTGGAACTCATATTGCAGTTAAAGTGTTCAATCTGCAACTGGAAGCGGCATTCAAGAGTTTTGATATAGAATGTGAAGTTTTGCGCAGCCTTTGCCATAGGAATCTTGTGAAAGTCATCATTAGTTGTTCCAACCTTAATTTTAAGGCTTTAGTGCTCGAGTATATGCCTAATGGAAATCTTGACAAGTATTTGTATTCACACAACTACTTCCTAGACATCAGGCAGAGACTAAGCATTATGATAGATGTGGCATGTGCATTGGAATATCTCCATCATGGATGCTCCTTTCCCATAATTCATTGTGATCTGAAGCCTAGTAACATCTTGCTGGATGAGGATATGGTTGCCCACCTAAGCGACTTTGGTATTTCAAAACTGCTTGGTGAAGATGAGAGTGATTTATA